CGGGCCGCCAGACTTAAAGCATCCCCCATCGTATGGTCTACCTCTCAGAGAGCCGCGGGCCGCCAGACTTAAAGCATCCCCCATCGTATGGTCTACCTCTCAGAGAGCCGCGGGCCGCCAGACTTAAAGCATCCCCCATCGTATGGTCTACCTCTCAGAGAGCCGCGGGCCGCCAGACTTAAAGCATCCCCCATCGTATGGTCTATCCCTCAGAGAGGATCTTATTGATCCTCTGGCCAACCATGTAAAGGATAATATCCTCAATAATATCCTGTCATATTATGACAACTTGTCACGGATATATAAAGTCTTCGAAGTGGTTTGGCATCATTTTTTGACAGCACACCTGACCTACCACACAATGACCTGATATCTGAGGTGGTCAAATGCATAAACATCCATGAGGAGTAAGTTGAAGTAAGGGGGAGGGGGTGTTTCTATCATTTTTCCATTTAAATGGAAGAAAAATGCTGATGACCTTAGTTCTAACATCCTTAAGACACTGAACAGTGATGGACTTGACATGATGATGTACCGCGCCAAGGTTAGGTTGATGCTGTAACGCTGTTTCAATCCATGGAGGTGTACAAACCTTACTGGAAAGAAAGAACAAGAAATCTAGTTTTAATAAATTATTCACTTAACACCTCGTTTCCGAAAATGAATAATCTGTAAAATTCTTCCTCTATTTTTCTCTTTCCTTCTGTTCAGCGCTCACTCATAAATGGGCAGTTTTAACTGAACACTCTTAAATGTGAGTAAAAAGCCTATCAAGACCATGGAGTGTCAGTGAAAAAACAATCAACACGCTGGAATGTCAGTGAAAAGTCTATCAAGACCATGAAATGTCAGTGGAACACGCTGGAATGTCAGTGAAAAGTCTCCCAAAAACGCTGGAATGTCAGTGAAAAGCCAATCAACACGCTGGGATGTCAGTGAAAACCTAATCAACAAGCTAGAATGTCAGTGAAAATCCAATCAACACGCTGGAATGACAGTGAAAAGGCACCCAACACGCTGGAGTGCACATCATGCTGCAGTAAAAAATAAAAAAATTAAAGACGAGGTTAATGAATGTGTGATGACGTTTGAGGCTTTTTATGTAACCTTCGTGAAAATTGGAACACACCAGGTGCAGCGTGTGTTGTGATGAGTGAGAGTTTAGGAGAAGTGGGTAAAATTGTGGAGATAGATGAATCCAAATTCGGCAAGCGGAAGTATCATAGAGGCAAACGCGTAGAAGGAAAATAGGTGTTTGGTGGGATTGAAAGAGGATCAAACAAAACCTTTTTCAGGGTTGTTGAGAACCGCGGTAAAGACGTCCTCCTGGCAATAATTAAAGAATTAGTGCAGCCAGGAACCACAATAATTTCTGATTGTTGGAGGTCTTACAACTGTAGGGTTTCACCACCTGAGGTTGAACCATACAATTGAGTTCAAACACCCTGAAATGGGCGCGCACACCAACACCATAGGGGGCACTTGGAGTGCAATTAAACGATCTCTGCCCACAAGAACCTGTCCTGGGGAGGAGCAGTTCAACTCATAGTCATAGTTATTTGAATATATGTGGCGACGCTTATGTGGTAACAGAGTTTAAGTGAGAGAATTTTTAAATGCTATAAAAATGGTGTATCCTCCCCAAATACAAGATTCTGATGCATAAGGAGTGAGTAAAAAATTATTGAAATTTCGTTGATTTTTTAAAAAAATTTGCTCAGGATAGATTATAGGGTTAAGGTTAGGGTTATGGTTTTTAATAACTCGTGTTTTGCACTACTTTTTTAGCTGCCATCTTGGTTGACACTTCACGTGACTTCACGTGTTGTGTCAACAAAGATGGCGGTCATTGAGAAAATAGTGGCATCCACAATGACCATTTAAAACCAACGCTTGGATAGGGGGATATGTGGATGTGTCAAAGGCAATAAAAATTTCACCTCAACCTATCGTATTGATGGTAATGATTGTCATATCGTTGCTTTGTGCGTCACAATGAACTACCTAGATGCGTCAACAGTAATAGTCTAGTTGCCGTCGCAATAACTTCACTCGACCATCCCCTTTTTCTGCTACCAGGCGTGTGATGTAGTTTTGTTACATAATTTATTTTGTTTGCCAGAACCGCAGCAATTGTGAAAACGGAGAAAACTAGAGAAGGTTTTTAAAATAAAATACATTATCCAACTGTTCTGCTCTAGGAAGTTGGATTTGGACATATTTTTTTAATATCTAGTTAGTCCCATTTGAAATATTGAAATTTATTTTTAGAACCCACAAAACAGCTCTATCCCTTAAATATCCCCTCAATGAGTTGCTGTAGTTATTGAGTGTCCAAACGATTGCAAAAAACATTTTGAAATCAAAGCCTGTAAGTCCTTTAAAGAAGCACTGAGTAAAAAGTACATCCTTGACATCTTTTTGTCAAATATTAGATTCAAAATCACTTTTCCAAAATCAAGTAGCTTGTGTAGAAGCTATGTTTTAATAAAATAAAAAGAGCAAATTTCTGAGTGCAGCTTTAAAGATGATTTGTGCCCTATTTTAGTGTCATACCAGATATTTTCATTAATATCTTTATTTAATTTTTATTTTATTCATATCAGTATCAGATATAAAATGTGGCAGAGATATAGCAACAGCTATATTTTAGAAATGTTTGCAATGACTATGAATAGACAAAAAGCAGTACTCTCCAGAGGTCACCATTGAAGGATAGGGTGGCCTTGTAAATTCTCATCTCCTAGCTTTGCCGGTGTACAAAGCATCCTCGACCACAGGACAGAATATATATTTAAGATCATGGCAGAGGAATTGAATTCACAGGGCGTTTCATGGGTAAACTGCATTGCATTTGGCTGTGACAATGCCAATGTGATGACTGGCCAATACAATGGAGTATACAGTTTAATTAAAGGAAAGCAAGACATGACGCTGCCTCCATCTGGTGCATCTTGCAGCTAAAAAGTGGGGCTTCCTGTCTACCCCAAGTTGAGGAGGTCCTGGTTGACATTTGTTACTTCTTCAAGAAAAATGTGAAGAGACAGTGTGAATTGAAAAACCTGTATGGTGCAGAAAAGTCCTGTATGGTGCAGAACAGATGAAAAGTATCAAGCATGCATGCGGCATGCACCAGATGGCTTAGTATTGCAAGATGCTTAAAAAGATTGTTTGAAAACTGGGACCACTTTATGCACTTTTTTTTATGAAGACAAATATAAAAATTCCAAACCAAATAAGAAACCACATGATGGGCAGACAACTGATGTGTTAGAAGGACATTGCACAACTTACTCTGTGAAGCAGGTTGATGCCATTTATGACTTTTTGCGGTCACCAACAAATCAAATTAACTGCTATTTCTTGTCTTACACACTGAAAGTTTATGATCAGGTGAGATGAACTTTTATATTTCATGAGTCTTGAATGCTGCATAATTTTACTCACATTTCATTGGACCAGCAATATTTTCTTACGATTCATTTTATTTTGTGCAAAGTTGTCTATAGTGGACATTAGTAATTTTGTATTATTTACCTTACCATACTGTTGTACTTAATATTATCTTTATGACACATGGTTATTTTTACAGGTACTTGTATACCTGCAGGCAGAAGAAGCCATGATCATCATGCTGAAGGAGAACCCCTGCAGCCTAATTGGTGACTTGTACTGCAGATTTCTCTTGCCAACAGCAGTTAATGGTATTGACCAGATGAGCTTGTGTAGATTGCTTAGGTTAATGTATGCATTTATGTTGTAGTTAGTTGGACAAATTTAATACATTTCTTTTGTTTTAAATTATCATCTAAATGGATTATCATAATAACTTCAGTACT